CCCGGCCCCCGCGCCTGGGGTAAACCTAGCTAGCACTTTGCTTTCACCCGGGCAGGCTCATTGGCTGGGGACGGATGGGGTGGGAGGACGTCCCACCTGGCACTCACACCTATCCCTCAGCCCGCCCACGCCCCTGGCCCCCGGGTTCGCTCTGACCCTCTTTGGTCCAAGTCCCCTGTCCAGCCTCCCGTAGCCTGACGGGTCACTTTTGCATCCACTGGCCTCTGGCCCCTCTCTCCCTGGACTTATAGACACAGCGCCTGACCCAGATTGTCTGGGTGGTGTCTTCCTTGTCGCTTTCCCTTTTCTGCCTGCTGGGAAGGTGTTCCCTCGCTAGCTTTGAAAACCAGAATCCGAGTTCAGGGCAAAATAAACGCCTGCCCCACTAGTTCTGCACTTAAGCTTACTTTTCAAGCAGTTGTTTCATAGTGAAGGTCTTTCCTCCCTACCCCCTGGTGCCTCGGTGTATTATATGAGACAGGGCCGAAAAGTGGATTAAGACTATAAATTAAATACTCTTACCTAGGTCATTACTCCTAGCAGAAATCTGATAGAAGGATATGCAAATAACGTTCTGATCCAGTCACAAAATGAGGTTTATTATTATTATTATTATTTTAGCAGACACTCATAATATTAGTGTCTAGGGTAGAGTTGAAAATAGACTAACTGTGGCCACAGACTGACCTTTAGTCATAAACCTGTTGGTGACGTTAAAAGGCAAAACCTCACTACTTATTACATGCATGTTGTCAAAAGCCAGATCAATATTTAGGTTAAAATGTTTTAACCATTTCCTGACCCCTTTATGTTGTTGGCACTTTTGAATAATGAAATCTAAAATAGAAAATGAGGTTAATTTGAAGTATAGTGTATATTGTAAGGAAGAGGAAAGAAATGTGAACTACTTTCAGAGATCAACAATCCTAAATCCATGCCTCCGAAATAAGAGCTGTCACTTTAATCTTGAGAATCGGCCTCTCCATCTTTTAGGACCAAAGCTGGCTCCTTTTTCACATGAATTTTTTAATTCTTCCCCCGCCCCCTTTTTTTTTAAAAAGCAAGAAATATCAGTGAGAACTGTACAAAGCATAACACTGCCTCTGTCACTAATTTTTTTCTGACTCACAGTAGCAATCAGAACGGTTATTTTGTGTTGCTGATGCTTTCAGCAAGTTTCCAAATGATGTGTTGGCTGAAGTCAATATCAGAATGAAGATAAAACGTAAGCCTTTAAAAGGGACTTGATAAATGTTAGATGTAACAGCCTTTCCCAGGGAGGTGTGCTACTCAGCAGAGTCAAAGATCAGAGCTGCACTCTAAAGAAATAAGGTTAAAAAGATCTAGCATGAAAAAGAACAAAGTACAGCGTCAGGGAATAAACATATGAGGTGTGTGTGTGTGTGTGTGTGTGTGTACATATTTATGGGTATGCGAGTTATTATGGGATGGCTACATATATACGTATTTATTCATTTCCAATTCTTATTCATTTATTACTCTGTCATCCTGAGTCATATCCCATCATGCATCATGAGATTTGGTTCCTGCAACAGGTGGGGCTTGGGACAAGCATACTCACTTGTGGTGCCCTGTCAATCATGGGACAGCCCTGCCAGGCAGGTGGTCCTGACTACCTGCATTGTTCACAGGAAGGGCTCAGCATCAGTGCTCAGTCGTAGGACAGCAGCCTAAAACTGGCAAGACTCTTAGATGGGCAGGATCGTTTCAATTCCCTAGAAATTTCTGTCAGCCTCAGGGGAGAGGGACATTTCTGAAGATCAAGGTGAAATCAAGGCTTCCCTGGAGGTGCAAGGCATTCCCTGGGGCCCTTAGAAAAGTGGCTTGATTCCTGGGGATTTTTTAGACTGGGAACTGGACATCTTTAGTCAGAGTGGTCATTTGAGAAAACTACAAATCTCCTGGGCTTCAGCCACCCTGGGAAGTTAGCCAGAGTTCTTTATTCTTTTCTTTTCCCCTGCCCTCCTTGCCTCACCCATCCCTGCCAGTGCTGCACCCATGAACTCAGTCCCAGACTTCTGGGAGGCGCTTACTGGCCCACAGTAACTCTGTTGTGATAGGAAGCCAGAATGCCTTTTTCCCCCTGTTTCCATCAACTCTTTTCTGTTGGGTGACAAAAGGAAAGGCTGGATTCAGGAGAGACCAGATTGTAAAATCACAAAAATGCCTTTATTACTAGAATTCTAGAGCTGGAGAGGGTCTCTGGAGGTCACCCACTCAAGGCCGGGGGGATTCAGTTAAATTGCCCCAGTCTAGACATTTTCTCAACCACTTCGTAGCTCTCAGTTACTCTCTGTTTTCAAGGTTCCTTTCTTTTTGGGCTCCTGGTCCCTCTCCTTTAGTATCCAATTGAAGCCACTTTGTCTTCTGGCCTCCCTAACCTCGGGAGCTATGAGGATGGAGTAGACTCATTATCTCCATGTCTTCTGGGCTAGCACCATGGGGAGCACATGTGTGACCCCTGATTAGGGTTTTGTGAAGGTTTTTATGAATGAACTGTCTAAACTTACCCTTCATACCTGCCACTTTTTCCTACACTCCGTCCCCCTTTTCTCTCTCCCTTGAAGTCCTTGCTATTGAAGTTTTCCCACGTGAATCTGTTTAACTTAGATTCTTCAAAGTGCCTTTCTGATCCCACAGCTTCTCTTTAAAAAGCCCCTTCAATTTTACCCTACTCCCCTGAAACACCAGGCCCAGCTCAAAGTGTTCATGTCCACCAAAATGCCCTGTTTAATCATCTCTGCTTGTAAACCTCACTTCGTTTTCTCTTAGTCCAATCCAGGTGGAGGGCATGTTACCTGACAGGTGTTCACTAAATATTGGTGGAACGGGGGCACATTTTTCTGACAGTCCCACAAAGGAAAGAGCTCCTGGCCTCCTTACTCAAAAAATCATCCTGAGCCTCTGGTTCCTGTCCTTGGAGATCATTTCCACTAGCCAGCAGAATTCAATTAAGCTTTTAGATTTGGCTATTATGTAGGCTGGAATTAAAGACACGACTGAAGCCACAGGATCTGATATTCATTGCTTCCCTGTGTCATCGAAGCCTGTCTCTCTGTCACAGGAGGAAATTAAATTGGTCTGACATGATTTAGTCCTCATAAAATCAGTTGGCTGGATTGATTTTTACTTCTGTTCTCTGATGGGAGTCTCCCAAGAAGAAATGGAAACTCTGGGGTTGCCATGGCCCAGCCTAGCTTAGCCATTCCATACGTTAATAGCTTCCTAGCGTCGCTTTGATTTAATCACAGGTCCCTTCATCTACATCCTTAAACATCCCCTTTTGTACTGTTATTTTTTTCTAATTTCTCTAGAGAATAAAAGATTTCAAATTTCTCTAAAGTGCTTTCAATTTGTAGTTTTAAATTGCTGTAATAATTGCTTTAGTAAATGCGACATGAAGATTGTGGCATTAGGGCCAGCCAAGTGGCTCAGTTGGTTAAGAGCTCACTCAAGAGTGTGAGCTCTGAGCAACAGGGTCTCTGGTTCGATTCCCGGCCCGAGCTGAGCTGCCGCTGAGCTGCCAACAGGTGGCAGGATGGTTCAGCTAAAAAAAAAAAAAGACTGTGGCGTTAGAGACTCGCAGCAAAATGATTTACCTATATAAATGGAAATGTGACAAATGAAATGAAGAGCACCTAATATTACCATTAGCTAACATGTATTGATGACTTACCAAGGGCCAGGCACTGTAGCAGTGGCACTTGACGTAAATAACCTCATTCAATCTCACAGTCTCCGGGATGAGGTAGGAACTATTACTATCATACCTCTTTTATAAGTGAGGGAATGAGGCTTAGACTGTGAAGTAACTTGTCCCAGGTTAGGACCAGAATCCAAAGCCCACACTTCTAAATACTGCCTTCCCGATTAATGGGCGATTAAGTTTAGAACTCTTGAGTTTGCAGTTGATGGGACTGAGTCTAGTCTGATCTCTGTAGTTGAATCTGGTCTCAGACCGCACGGTTTTCTTCTGTAGCATCCCTGAGGATGGCATATCTCTTTCCCATACCTTTGTGGAGCAGTTCCCCTTGTGAGAAACTCTTCCTGCTGTCTTGTAATTTCGACCTGATGCACTCTGGGCCCTTGGGATCAAGTCCACACAGACAACTTTTTCAATATTTCAGGATTGCTGTTGCATCTCCTCTCACGATTGGTCCTCCAGGCCAAACACATGCAATTCCTTCAATTATTTTTCAGATCTTTATGGGCTTAGCCACATTCCTCCAAACACACTGTTTGCTTTGTCAAAGTCCATTTTGCTAGGGGACCTATGGTTAGCTCCAAGCTGCTGATGTCAGCTGAGCAGCATAAGGCAACATGAAGTATGTGTGATGTGGGTATTGAACCTCTCCTGGTGCAGATAAAATCAGGCTAGGGCTTGTTTATTTTCCTGTTGTTGTTGCCAATATTAACTGATGACTCACATTAAGATTGTGATTAGTTAAAACCCTTAGATCTTTCTTTCTAGTCAAATTTAAGTTCTGTGACGTTGGGGACATTGCCCGTGTTTTCACTGCTCGTATACCTAGCACTTGGAACAGTGACTGAAATACAAGTGGCATTCAAAAAATATTTGTTGAATGATTTTTTTTTTGCCCTCCGTGAAACCTGCATTTGTACTATTGATTTCAGTAACCCAAATATGGGATTTTTGTATTTTTTTTTTAAAGATTTTTATTGGGGAATTGGGGGGATGGGAACAGTGTTAGGGAATTGGGGGAAGGGGAACAGACAAGTTGCTGTCATTTTTTGTTCTTCAGTCTAGTTGTGGAGGACATTGCTTCACTGGCCCAAGTTGGCCCATCATTGCGCTCTTCCCGGGCGAGGCAGATCAGATGCTGGCCTCTGGACAGCCGCTCACTGCAGCTGCTGGCCGCTCACGCTGGCTGCTGGCTACACACGGTAGCCCATGGCAACCCACTGCCACAGGGGCTGAAGCCTAAGCCATTGCTGGCGGCTCATGGGCAGCCCAGCTCCAGGTTGAGCTGTTGTTCAGCATCTTAGCTGTGGAGGACAGTGTCACTGGCCCTCATATGTGGGATCCGAACCGGGGCCCTCTGGCGTCCCAAGCCAGCTCTTAACCAACGCGCCACTCAGCCGGCCCTGTATTTATTCTTGTTAAAATTAATTTTGTTTGTTTCAGTTTAATGTTTAAACTTGTTGACCTCGATTCATTTTGATAGTGTCATGAAGACAATATTCTAGGTCTTTATTTTCCTACATTGAGAGACTAAAGATAAAAGATATTTATTTGCTCTTTTGTTCATTCAATATACATTTGGCACCAAGATGAGTAAGCTATGTTCCTTGACCTCAAAAAGTTAATAATAATATAGGGGAGGGGTAGTGTGTGTACAGACCTCTGCAGGAGCCCAGCGAGGAAGCAGCACTGCACCTGCTGGCTTCCACAGCCCTAAGAGGTGAAGGGAGGCTATTTGGTTTCCTTCTCTGAGAAGACGGAGAGCCTACCTAGGGCTTCCTGATGGCTCAGCCGCCTCTATTCCCCCTAGCTCCTTCTGTACACCTGTTACACTTGTGGTTATATTTTGAAATAATTATGGAGTAATGTCTGCACCCTGAGGAGGACAAGCTCTGCTTTTTAGGTAAGGGGTCTTTCCGCTCACCATTGTATCCCTCTACCCAATGCTGTGCCAGCTGTAGTAGGACCTCAAATGATTTCCCTTGAATGCATACATCTCCTAAAACTTCTGTGTGTCCATGTCTTTTCTTTCCATAGTCCCCAGAGATGGCCTTTTCTTTCCTCGAAAGTTCCATTTCTTCCTCCTTTTTCAGTTCTTGTCTACCCGACTGGTTACAGGGTAAGAAAATATCTCCACCTCTCTACAGTCCCTTTTGCCAAACACAAGCCTCTTTGTTAAAAGTGTTGTTCTGCAAAAATCACTACAAAAACCAGGTGGTAACAAACCTAGGCAGTTTGTAAAGGTTTAGGAGGTCTCCTGTTTTCATGGCCCTTGTCTCCTGGGAAGACAAGGCTCACGTCCTGCCCGGCTCCCCAGAGACTTTGTCCAGCCCAAGGGTAGCTCCGGTCACATTGCACGGCTGGGCTTGTGCCTGCCGCTGGCCCTCTAGTCCGTCTGTGAGCTCTCTGCATGATTGACGCTTGCATGCCTGGCATCTACCACACCTGTTTTGAATGATTGTCAAAATGAAGAAGTG